TTGATACAGGTAACCACAAATCTAGTGATATCTAATTTAGTTCTTATTGCTCAATTATTTTTATTTAAAAAAAATTATATATGTATATATTTAAGAAAACCAAAAACTTTGGTGGAACCAACTGAGGACCTAACACCGTAGTAAAGAGAAAATTTTAGACAAGGAAGAATGAGCAAAAACCATCTGAAGATTGCATGAACATGAAACTCATGTTATGACTTAAGCCATCCTTTGATAGGAGTTAACTTTGTGAAATAAATATATAGCTGCAATTCCATGACTGTTATCATTGCATAGCAATCTTCTATGTCAGCATAACAAAATATTATCTTCAATGGTGAATATCTTTGTTAAAATGTTCGCATAACCACTTTGAAGATGGCTCATGTGAGCCAAAAGCTTAGACCATGGACCAACTTAATAAAAAATATCCAATTATTTTCACTTGAAATTAAAGAAAATATATGAACATTAGAACAGCCCATGATCAGACATAATAGACATTCACTGTCTGCTATATTTAACAATATATGTATATATATATATATATATATATATATATATATATATATATATATATATATATATATATGTGTGTTTGTGTGTGTAAAAGGATGACTCCATAGATAAAAAATATTATTAATCAGAAGAAGTCCTTGCTTGGAATGAAATATATAATGTTTTTTCCTTGTCATCATTCAATTAAATATATAAATATTTTTTTTACTTCAAACATAGATACCCATGTTTGCAATTGATGCCTGTTCTTTTTTTTTTTCTAAACAGTATGTATTATATCTATTGGGTCTACACTCAAAAATTTAGTAATTATAAGTAAATAATAAAAAACAAAATTTGCTGTAAGGATGACACAGTTTTGCACTAAGTCTGAGAACAGATTTTCATTATTAATTTTTCTCGGGGGTGGAAACCTACAAATGTATTATATAATATTTAAAAAAAAAAAAAAACTAAAAAAGAGGGTCACCTATTTCAGACATAGGTTTCTATTAAAAATAATGTTTCAAGCAATAAAAATGTCTGATTAAAAATAAATCCATTAATTTTTTAGAAATTACATATAAATATATCTTGAAAGATGTACCAACATCATTTGGCTACCAAATTTTATTGTAAAAACATTGACTAGCATTAAAAATCTAACATCATGTACATGTACCATAATTGCTTCTGTCTCAGACATTAAGACAAAGATTGACATGACGCATCAAACTGATTTGGGGAATTGATAAAGACATTGCCGAATCTCCACAGAGGATTACTTCCATTGAAGAGTAAGATTCAAAGCATTTTGGATTTCCAGGAAGTGTTATTTGGGAAATCACAGTAAGTAGCTTCAGGTTCAAGACATACTAATTAAAACTAAATTGAATGAAATAGACTTATCTTTCTTTCTAAATTGAATGAAATAAAGTAATTTTACCTGAACTAAACAAAATGTTAAAGATAAAGGAAAAGAAGTACTGATTTTGAAAGAAGTTAATATCATGGGATAAAGTGGTTACTTATGTTTTTTTTATAAAATTTACAAGAGGGAGATAAAGTGAAATATATGAAAATGCTAACTTGTAAATATATTACTTTCTTCACCCAGTTAAATTAAAACATGATGAAGACTATTTATGAAGACCAAATAGTGGAAGTGAGCACAATTAAGCAGCAGGCAAAGTATTTCACCATTATGGCAGTAATATTCTTGACAAGCCACAACTGGAACCCATGAAATATTTCTTGATAATAACAATGCATGACCAATGATAATGACTGTAGAAAAACAGTACTTTGTATAGTAATACTCTGTCTAACACTGTTATCATGCTGTCATATCTGTTGTAGTTGCTGTCAAAATAAATAGAAAGTCTTCCTTTTATATCCATCATCTTTTGTGTCTCTCTCTCTCTCTCTCTCTCTCTCTCTATATATATATATATATATATATATACACATTCACTGAAACAGACCATAAACACTTATATCTTCTGTTTTTTTCTTTCTTACTTACTTTCTTTCTGCAACCAAGTACCTTCTTTGATATGTCTTTCCATGCAATCAAAATGGAATAGTCCATTATTTATGAGGTATTGGTAGGTGACATTAAAGGCTTCTTTCTTTCTTTCATTTTCTCACTGAAACCAAGTTGCATCTCTGATATGTCATTTCCATGTTTTCACACAGTCAAAACAGAATAGTCCATTATTTATGAGGTATTGGTAGGGTGTAACAGCTGTGTGAACAAACTAAAGAACTAGCTAATGTAGAGCAATAAGCTGAATTATAATAAGATAATTTAATTTAGTTTGTTTAAGGTATGTTTTATGAATCCAGAACATTCAGCTATTAAAAATGTTTTGTCCCTTATTCATGATTAATTTAATAATTGTTAAATAAAAAACAAATGAACATCCTTTCAGTGTACTTATTCCATAACTTTTTCCAGGGGTAGTAATATGTTTTATTATGTTAACCCTTGACACCAAAGGTGGATGGTGGTTGTACAGCAGTAGAGTTTGAACCTTCCTGCTAATATTTTTCCTTGCTATAGATAGCAATTGGCATTTTGGCTTCTAAAATTAAAACAGGAGTATGCCACTTAATTTCTCCTGAAAAATTTTTACCCATTAACACTTGCTTAACAGAAATGAAATATTGGATGGATAATGTATTTTGGCAATGGCAGCTGTGATGTATTTGAAAAGATGATGTTATGGACATTTTCTTGACAGCATCATTGCTGTAAAAAAAGTTAAAAAATAGTGTTTTGTAGTTGATAACTTGCTCCTTTTTTAATAATGTTCAAACAATACAAGGCCCAGGAGCCACTCAAGGTAAAGGGTTACTGAATGAAGTTGTTAGATGAGTATAAGGTGAAGAGGCAAGGAGTACAGTTTATGAAGTTATTTAGAAAAGAGAAAGATTTCCACTAGTCTTAGAGATTCAGATTGTAGTAATTATGGAAAGCATCCTCTTGGGAGTCTTTTACACAAAGTGGCAGTTTTAGGAAGCTATCTGAGTGAAACTTTCTTCATCTAATGGAATAAGGATGATTCCTTCCATTATACATAATATGGTGGTTCTTAATTATAATAGTCAGAGATAGCAGAACTAAACAATGGAGCTCAACAGAATAATTGCCATGGAAATAGTAATAGATGATTTGGTATGTTTTCATTTGGTTGTTTAGGCACCAGCTGATTTGGCATCAGACTATTGGATGTTAGAAAATAATGTTGAAAAATAGAAATGCAGATAGAAGAATACATAAAATGGTTCTAAAATTTGAAAACATGGCTACTATTGAGTATTTGAAGAGCCTTGCTCATAATTACCAATTGAACTAAATAAAGCTACATTACAGTTTTTAGTGATAAACAAATTTAATAGTTTCATTTTTAAAAAAAGATACAGGTTTAAAACTTTTTAAATTTCTACCTTTGAATGATGATTAATCAATCAACATTTTTCCTAGCATCCTAAAGTCATCATCTGTCTGCATGTCTTACTTATATACAAAGTTTGCTGACTAGAAACTGCAGGATTTGTCTAAAATCATGATATTTAGTGCCAAATCAGCTGGTGCCAAAACAATTGGACCAAAGTGTCAGTGCCCAATGGCTGCATCCAATCATTGCATCCTGAGCAATAGAGTCGTGAGAGACTTGCAACATCTCAGATGTGAGAAAGGAGTTGTAGGGTGGGAATTAATTCATCACCCACAAGTGGGGCTAGACAGATGCTTTTGAACCCTATTAAAACTGGTAAGTAAAGACTGGGTAGCTCCAGCCCGGATGTGGTAGCAGTATTCCATTTTTGGTCTGATAGAGCATATCAGGAGGAGCCATGATTTTTCTGGAATGATTCAAGGAACCAACTATTCTTCCAGCATACTGAGTAACTTTTTAAGACCACCAGATGCAATATAACCCTCACAAAAAGCCAAATACTATACCTGTTGAGAATTACATCTTGACCTCCTGATACCAATGACTTCTTTTATCAGATGTCAAAGTATCTTAGTACAGAGGCATAATTTCTTTGGTTCATTGGCCGTGGACTGACTAGCTCAGAAACTTTCAATGTTTGTCTATATTTCTGAGATGAGGTATTATGTACACTATTTACATTATTCGGACTATTGTCCTCATCTTTGTCACAATGTTTTGGTTGTTGTACACTCCAGCCTTCTTCAGGTGGATGGAATGTTGAACTGAATCCTTTATTTCGCTCACTGGGGTAGACTGTTCTAGTTACACGTGCCATGTTTAATGGATGTCACTTATCAGTTATCTCTTGTTAATTCCTCTCTGCAAGTTCTCCACTGCCTTAACTGGGTATTGAACTCACACATGGCACAGTGGATAAAAGTGTTGGTTAGATCCAGTGACAGTACCCAAGGAGTGTGAGTTCAATACCCAGTTAAGGCAGTGGAGAACTTTCAGAGGGAAATTAACAGGAGATAACTGATAACTGACATCCATTAAACATGGTACGTGGAACTAGAACAGTCTACCTCAGTAAATGAAATAAAGGGTTCAGTTCGACATTCCAACCACCTGAAGAAGGCCAGAGCATACAATGGCTGAAACTTTGTAATAAATATGGCGACAAAGATGAGGACAATAGTCTGAATAATGTAAATAGTGTACTTTCAATGTTTTCATATAAATTTGGATTGGATTGAATTGTAAAATTCAATCTGTCATTATTAATAGTGGCCTATTCATTATATTTATGAACAAAACATCTTCAAATTATGACATGAACATGAAAATAATAAAGAAACTAATATATGTAATATGGAAATTCTTAATTTATATTGGATATAGCATATAGTATACCTCTTGACATACATATATTAGGTAGTTACAGGAATTTCCAGCAATATTATGATTTTAACTGAAGCAAAATAGGTGGTTAAAAAAAGGAAATATCAATCAGACTGATGCAGAAAACCATTTAAAAAATAAAAAAAGTGACCTTACCGGCAAGTAGACAGCATTAATATAACGTGGCTGACCGTCAGGAGCAGGCGTCAGATATGGCCGGTATAAATCACCTAAAAGAGAGAGAGAGAAAAAAAAGATAGATATTTTCCCAGTCACTGAGCAATATTTTAAATCTAAATCAAAATATAGAAGTTTATATTCACTGTTCAAAAATTTATTCAATAGAGAATATCTATTATAATTGCTTCATGCATGCTCAATATTGAATATATATTTTATCAGTTTAGCTGGCAGTGATGGACATGGACTATTTTAGTAATATTTCTTTTTATAATCTGTCTGCATCTTACTTATATACAAGGTTTGCTGACTAGAAACTGCAGGATTTCTCTATAATCATGATATTTAGTGCTTTTAGCTGATTACTAGCCATTTTCTAAATTGAAAACATCTTAAGTTGGATAGATTAGTATTGGTAAATTTCAATTTCTGTGTTTAGCATTTTATGTTAGAATGAATTTAAACATGTGATGCTACTTCAAACGAGGTGTATTAAGGTTGAATATACCTATCTTGGTACACTGGATGAAGAAAATCTTGTTCAGCTGTTTTTTTTTTGTTTTTTTTTTAAGAAGAAACTTGATGCAAAAGAAAAACTTCTATAGGAAGATGTTGAGAATATCATGGATTGAACATGTGTGTTTTAGAAAAAATGGCAACAAAAAGGACATCAGAAAGAGATAATTGAAATTTATAGAGCACATAATGAGGAAAGGGGGCTAGGAAAATTGGATACTTACAGGACATGAACGGACAAAAACAACATATAATCTAAATAGCGAGCTTGAGTAAATGGATGGAAGAGCAATGTTTAAGAGAGATGACAAAAAGACAATTTATTAAGAGCAACAAAAGACAGAAAATTGTGGAGAGACATGATTGTCAACATTCTGAAGGAACATGATCCATAGAAAAAGAATGAGAGCTTCAAAATGTTTTTGTACACCAAGTACTGAAACCCATTTTCAGTTCTTAATATGTTCATTCACATTGTTATCTCATCAGTTAATTCATCCATCAATTCACTGAATTAATAATTCATTCTTAGAAACATGGTACCTAAGCTCATCTAAATTAATTGGAAAATTGTAAATACAAGAAGGAATATGATGACTTTTATCTGACATTTGTAAACTGACAGAAAACAGAAAAAAAACTAAAATATAGGTTGAACATATCTATACTGATTAAAGAAAATATACTAATACTATTTTCTTTTAACTCTTTGAGTCCTGACTACCGCTTTACTGGTGGTAGAGGAAAATGATTTAATGCCCAGCCATCAGTTGAACAGTGGTAGAGAAAAATGACTTAATGCCCAGTCATTGGTTGAATGGTGGGTAAACACTTGTAACTATTTTCATATCTACTGTGAAAACATTATATAACATTTATTTGCAAATTTTAACTCAGGAGCTCAGGCAGAAGTGTTAAAATTGTTCAGGAACACAGGGCTCAAAGGTTAAGAGAAACATTTTATTCAGTAATAGTACCACTGGCAGCTTGACCAAGGAATTCCAAATTTTTTCTTACTAAGAAATACCTAATATTACCATTACTAATTGTCATATAGGAAAAAAAAGAAAGAAAAAGAAAGACTACCAACACAAGGTTTGAACATGACACTCTGGACTTAGGAATATATGTTTTCCACCAGGTATATAAATAGCAGTGTTAGGCTACTGACTGCGGTGATTATTGAGTGGTTATTGTGTGGAATTATCCAGTCAAATTAGTGGGAATTATTGTGCAGCAAAGATTTGGGTTTTGATTTAGTATTTACTGGATGTTAAGCTGAGCTGTGCTACTAACAGAGTATTCACTGAAATGGTTAATTATCTTTCGTTGACTTTTACTTCTTTCTTCTTGTTAAGTATTTATTTGCAGTTGTAATTAAATGCTGTTTTATTTTAACATAGATGTCTTGAGTTATACTTAATTATTAACGGCTGTGGTACATCACAAAACTAATGAATAGAGATAATTGGATGAGAGTGATTATCTTAGGTTCTGTAAATCTGTCACTATAAATAAGTATAGCTTGACAGAAACAATACACAATATATATATATATATATATATATATACTTATTATCCTTAAACACTAGCACAACTCTGAGTTTCATGCATGACTATCTTCAGGTACTGAGTATGAACTGATTGTCACAAAGTTTGAATTATAATATATCTACTTACCACAATGTTGGTGTAGTTATATATTATGCTGAGATTATAGTTTTTTTTTATTTAAAAATTTAAAATTCATATTTGGGGATTAAAATAAGTAGGATTTACATATATATGTAAAAAAGAGAAAATTAAAAAATAATATTTTTGAGTGATGAATATTCATATTTTAATATTTTTGGAAATTTTTTTAATTAAAGTGATATTACTTGTTCTTATTTAAACAAAAAAACAAATTTATATTCAAAATAAATAAATTGTAATTTACATTAAAAATAAATTGTAATTTACATTAAAAATTAAAAAATTAATCTGGATCAACATACTTAAGCAGATATTTATTTTTATGCCTACATGTAACCATCAATTCATTTCACTTGTTTAATAAGCTAGGGTTATTTAGGTGTTTTAAGATTTTTCAACAAGACATTTATTTCCTTAACCATTATAAGCCTTAACTCTAGGTATAATTTCCCAGTTGATTGATGGTGAGATGTCCTCATTCTCTAATTGCTAGAAATATTTGGAGAGAGCAGTGCTGTTTTTATATTTTAATTTACTTAGGATCATTTGATGATGGTAAAAACAAAATTTCTTTTTCTATGGAACCAAATAAAATTTAACATCATTACAGGAATGTATGTTTGGCTCATACATTGACCATTTAGAAGAATTTATGTTGTCTTTATTATAAATGTTTGTTTAATATAATGTTCTAATGATGGGACATGGATGCATCTATGTTATTAATGCAGATATAGCTAATCTTAACATTGTTTTTGTTAAAAACCTTTTTTATTGTTGGTGAATGGTTAAAGTGCTTATGAATTAAATTTAGAAAAATTCTTAGTTTTAACATTACAGTTGAAATGTGTTTATGTTGTTCCTGCTTATTTTTACCTTCTTTGTTTATTTCTAAATACTCTAAAGTTACTTTATGATGGCTTAGTTTTAAAATATTTCCTTATTGCTGGAGTTGGTGGATAATCTAACTCAGACTGATTTATGTAAATTATTTAGGATGTTATGATGGTGGTTTGATTCTTTATTAATGTATCTATGATTGTATAGATCCTTTGTGGATGGTTTATAATAACCATTGTTCAGGTCTAAGGTTACAACAAGGAGGTTAACCACTTTAGCATTGCTGGTAATGGTAATATTTAGTTTGTGATCTTCAAAATATTTATCAGTTCCTTTCTCAATCAGTCTATCTTTCATGGGTTAGTTTTACGAAGGAGAATGACACCATCATCTCTATAGAGTCTAGTGTCCTTGATTTCAAAAATAAATCTAAATCACCATAATAATAGTATTCCAGCTAATTTGCATGCCTCCACTCTCATAGCAACAAAAATTCTAGATTACTTTTTTTGGTCCACATATAAGCATTATGAAAAGGTATATGTTTTTGTGCCTGTTTTATCATATTTATTTTGTGATCACTAATAGGACAGTAATTTATTGTTAGATTTATAGCCGACATTAGCAGGTTCTTGGTAATAGATGAGTAAAAGTCACAAATATTGAATTGAATGAATGTATATTCATTCTTCCTTCCTTTTTATATTGGTAAATCATTCTATGGCTTCAGCTGTTTTGTGCCACTGGTTAATTACAAGAGCATTTTTGGTATAATTGCATGCTCTTTCAAAGATATTTTTGCTGATTTTACTGATATTATTTTTGGTTGGATTGAGTAATTGACACTTGAGGTTGTTTAGAAAATTTGCCTTGTGGTCTTTAACTGTGATGAACACTTGCTGCTTCTGGAATTTATTTATCCTATCATCAATTTTCAGTTCAGTGGCTATTTTCTTGGTTTCAGTATTAATGTTATTTTCCCAGTTATTGGATAACTTTTTATAAAACGTAATAACTTCTTTATTAATGGCTTTATGCTACATATCTGCATCGACTTTGTAATAGTTACCCATCTTATCTGCTTTGATGATTATTTTTGATCATATCAATGTCCTTTAGAATTTTTTGCTGTAGATCATTGGTAATATTAGCAAATTTAATTTTTTTTTTTTTTTTTTTAAGCATTGTGCCCCAAGCAAGGCGTGAAGCCACTAGGATGCAGGGGGTTGCGGAAGATTTGGAGCGAGAGCGGATAAGAGTGATAGGAGAAAAGAAGGGGAGAAGGATAGTGGGTAGATCAAGGTAATTGGAGATGTCGATTGACATTACATTTGAACAGTTGGAGATTATAGCTTTCAGGGAAACAGTAATTGGGGAGAGGTGCGAGGTATGAAGCTATTGGAGTAGAAGAGACGGCTACATTTGAAGGTTTCTACGGTGTAAGGGTGAGAGCTGGATGCCAGCCTCGTAGGGCACTTGAATTCATGGAGTCTGGGAACCAGAGAGAGCAGCTCATCAGAGCAGTTACCATGGAAGTATTTGTAGAAAAGACAGAGAGAGGCGACGGCGTGTCTGTGAGAGAGTGACTGCAGACAAGACGCTAGATCAGGGCCAATTAGATTACATATCCGTCTCTGGATCCTGTCAAGAACTCCGAGGTAAGCAGAAGGTGCTCCAGCCCATATGTGGCAGTAATACTCCATGCAAGGGCGAATGGTTGTTTTGTATATTTGAAGTATCGATTCAGGGGAGAAAAATTTCCTGGCGCGGCACAGAGAGCCAACTTTCCTCACGGTGGAAGAAGCAATTGACTCAATGTATTTGTTCCATCTCAGGTCAGCAGTCAGAGTGAGACTGAGCAGACGCAGGGAGTTGCTATAGCTCTTTTTTGAAGTTCAGTAATAGATCATCACATTGAGGTGTTTTTTGGGACTAAAATCCATAAAGCTTGGCATCTTTTAGGTTGTTATACAAGTACTTGTGTTTAGAGAAGAAGAGT